GCACTGGAACAGGTTACCCAGAGAAGTAGAATCTCTATCCTTGAAGGTTTTTAAGACCCTACTGGACAAAGCCCTGGCTGGGATGATCCTGCTTTGAGCTGGGGGTTGAACTAGATGACCTCCTGAGGTCCCTTCCAACCCTAAGTTTTATGATTCAGTGTTAACTAAGGAAAGATCTCTAATTTTTTTCCCTGTAGATGCCTTCTTAGGAAGAACCAAATCACTCTGGCTAAATTTTGAAAACAAATAAACCAAAACAAACAAAAGTACAAAGAAGACATCCACGATAGAGAATTTCAGACCAGATCTAAACACTGGCAAATATGTACACAGATGAAACCAGGAAAGTGTTGGGTCAACTTTATTAAATTGGCTACCAACCCCACCTATAATCAGAAAGTTCTAAAACTTTTTCTATGAGGATGAAACAGAATCTTTACAGATGTCTGCTTATACACGTCCACCTTTAAAAGATAAATTGTTCAAAGACTTTAAGAACCATCATCCCCTTTGAATTACAACAATATTTGCACTGTCCATTTCCAGTCTATTTCCACCATTGCTACAGGACCTTTACGTAAACTTCCTACACTTGCAAAATCAAAGAAAGACTCTATAATAATGAATCACTATGAAGGACACACCACATATCTCAGTCTTAAGTGGCTTAATTACCTCAGACGCAACATTTCGGCGCTTTGCTTTCTTAATAGCTCTGTTCTTCAGGACTTCTTCACTAGCTATTGAAAAAGTTCCCACCTGTAGAAAATGTACAAAATTTCAGAATCAATGGAGAGAATCTCAAAACAAAGGCCAATGTGATTTGGAAAAAACCTTCTAATAGCAGTGTGGGTATGGCAGCCAAAATGACCAATCAGATGCACTGACTATTAGTATAAAACAGTATACCTGGCTTTTTGCCTCTTCCCTGTCTTCAAATAGGAAATATTACAGGCCCATTCATAAAATGGTTCTAGCTGTGGCAAATAAAGACAGCTGTGGGAAAGTACTCGTCTATGCTAATGATGCCTTCTTTCAGCCCTGCAGGCCAGATGAGTGGCACCAGGTCAGTCCATGACCTCAATCCAGGTGCATGGGGTGGGAGCAGCTGGGGTCTGATCCCTATGCACAAAGCCAGGCCAGTCAGGACCAATCCAGATGCACAGGACCAGAAATGTGGTGGCAAGAAAGCACTGGCAGTGTCAATGCCACTGCTCCTACACCAAATTTCTGGACTTGAGGGGAGGGGCTGGGGCATAAAATGCCACTGGGGGCTCATTTCAGCAGCAGCAGGCCAAACAACAGCTGCATTAACTACCCTGCTCCTAGGGCAACACAGGGGCTCAGACACCCATGACACCAAACTGAGCCCAGATCTGGTCCTGCAAGGGAGCTGAGAGCGCGAGCCTAGCTTGGTATGAGTGGTGAGGGGAGGAGGAAGGGGAAGAGGAAACAAATGTGAAGTAAACAGCTGGGGCACTTCTGCCATCCCATGTAGCTGTTTGCTGTGGCTCTTTATATTCCCCAGCAAACCATTTGTTTGGGGGTGGGGGAGGGAAGAAATCAGGAACTTAAAGGTTTGCTGAAGAACCTGAGGTCTACTCCATGACTTGTTGATAGATAACAAAAGAGCATGCTTTATAGCAGTGTTTCTCAACTCATGGGTCATGACCCAAATGCGAGTCCCAAGAATATATGAAAGGCTCACAGACAAACTTTTTAAAGGGTAATCCATTTTTAAGGAGAAAAACGTAGGAAACTATGGCTATTCCTTTGCAGCCTCCAAGGGGCTGCTTGGAGTTCCCCATGCCCCCCACACCCCTTGCCCTGCCCAACATACCCACCCCATAGCCCACACACGAGGGCTGGAACCAGGGGGCAGTGGGTCAGGAGCGACGGGCAGTGGGTCAAGACTGGCCATTGATGCTCACAAATGGGTCCTGGTGCAAAAACAGTTGAGAACCATTGCTTTATAAAGTCCATTTTGCACTAAAAACACAGCACGTATTCTTACTTCTGGGTGAAATGTGTGCTCTTGCAAGTACCCCCACCCTACCACTGAGGAACTATGTAAAATATACCACGTTAACCTCAGAATTATCTATTTCTTAGCTACCGCTGACCTGCAGTACTTATGAAAAGGCACAAAGATCTGAACAGAAATTCTATTTAAATACAAATTCGTACTAGTGGCACGTGTCCACTCCATAATTTTTGAGTATCAAAATTGTGATGTTTGAACGCTGGTAAGTTCCATTCAAGTTCTTTTACCCCCATACACAGAGGCCAAAATTTTTAGGTATTTAAGCAAATCACAAATCTTGGTTATTGTTATAAACTCCATTACCTTACTCTAGGCCCAAGGTTTCAAGTACTGGCCTGTAGAGCCACACCATCTGGAGTGCCAAGCTACTGGAAATTGTGGGGCATGGTGAGGGAGGGTTTTGGCCTGCTGCAGAATCTGGGGTCTGCAGTCCACGCTAGAAATAGACATGAGCAGCAGGAATGCAAGTGAGGGCTGTGTGACACTGATGTGGCAATCCAGGTGACCAAGGGCACACCAGTCTGCCCCCACAGTCCAGGTTAGATTTACCTGTTCTAGGCAACAGTATAAGCTCTAGAGCACTGATTCTTAACCTACTTGTCAATGAGCCACCCTTGTAGCTCTCAATGTGTGTTACATGGGCTTACCACACAACTTACTTCCTGTGTATCCATTTAAAAATGTTTTGTATCTGTTATGCTACAGTAATGCAATACATGATTATTCATGTAATGCAATGATTATTCTGTAATACCTCTCATTTCTACACTGTCAAATGTCTACCAAGCACATTTAAATAAGCTCTCAATATGTTAAATGGGCCACAGCAGTGTGCTGATTGGGCTGCATGTAGCCTGCAGGTTGAGAAATACTGCTCTAGAGGCAGCCCGTCTCCTTCCCAGAAATTTTATCTATTTACCAGTGGACCAATCATATTAAGAAATCCCATGAGTTTAAGGATGCACACACTGACAAAGATACACAAAAGACCACACCAAAAGACAACATACATCTGCACCAGGAAGCACAGGTCTTATTTCAATAGAAAAGAACAAGGAAAGTGAACATGTCAGCAAAGACTACAATCTAGAGGTTTCAGTCTGTTAAGACTAGCTAATACTACTAGAAACTAAGTGTGTTACTACTAAAGTGTATCCTCAAAAGCACATGGCCCACATACATATCTTGATCCATTTTTTCTACTAACCTAAAAAGTTAAAGGTAAATTTGTACACCAACATAAACTAATTTTATATTACAGTTAAACAACACCCTTTTAATGGTTTTCTTCTTTGAAAAAGTTGAGCAATGAGGTTTAATCATTTGTCATTTTGTTGGAGGTCTTTTATTATCTAGCTACTATTGGATCTAACCTGAGTTCCTGAGCTTTAGCCAACTTAACAGGTACATGCCTTGAATCAAGAAACTTATATTTAGCTTTGTTAGGCTGAACTTCACACATTTCAATGCCTTACAAGGGAGAAGGAAAAGAAGGGAAATCAAAAGAAATATCTTACCTCCTCAGCTTCATCCTCTTGATCCCAATTCCTGTCTGTCAACTCCTTCTCTGCAATTCTCTTTGCCATTTCTCCACACCTGCAAGAGTTTCACTAATCAGTAATTTGGTGAACAACTGTTAGACTAGCACAGAATACATTTGCACAGAACCAAATACTAGTTCAAATATTCCTTAACTTGTATTGCTCAGAAAAAAAAGGGAAATGTGTGTTTGTATCAAAGTAATTTAAAATTAAAAAGACGAATAAAGTCTCAGTTATGTTTAAGATATAGTTACTATTTGATGCTAAATTTGTTCAAGATAATTGAAACTTATTTCAGGACGCCTACATATATAGTGTGTTCTCAAATCCTAAAAGTGTACAAGTAGCTCTAAAGTAGACAGCAGTGGAACCACAACATTTCAGTTAAATGAGAAACTGACCTTAAAAAGGTAGACCATACATGTTACCCTTTAAAAATTAAGATACTTCCCATGAACCTTCTAAAATTTAAGAGGGAGGAAGATTTTACAGTGAAAAGTAACCACCTAAAGTTCCTTTTATTGCTGAGAAATAAGGGACCGTGTACTCGGCAAAACAGAGTTTAAAATGTTTGCCACACCTCCAATAACTCAAAACATCCACACTAACTTGTAAAACGTTCTCATGGATTTAAATCAAATCACATTTTACTTTGGTAAGATCCTGGCAAATTGTCAGTGTGAGAATTTTATTTTAAGTTTGAGGTTAGAGACGCATATGTGCGAAATTCTACACAGAAAGCAGGGTTATTTTAGAAAGCTAAAAATGTGTCAATTGTGCTTATACAATTTACTTTAAGCTGAGTATCTTGGCTTTAACTATAAAGATAAGATATTGCCTATGGAAACACTGTCATTTTTAGTCTCCAAAAGTAAATATAGCCCTGACAGTTGATAATATTCATGAATGACAGTAGTAGAATTAAATGACTTTGCTTAAGGACAAGAATAAGATGAGATTTGGGACCCTATATTTCCTGCATTGATGAAGTCACCAAAGTTCAGAAGGCTTCCTTCAGCATCCAAGCCACAAACAAGTCAGAACACCAGTGCAAAAGCAAGAGCTGGTTAACCACTGTGAAGGAAAATAGACTTAAAAAAAAAAAAAAGACCCAAGAACGCTCCCTAAAGGGACAGGGTATTGTAAAGGCTACAAAAGCAAGTTGCAGAGCAGGCTTGCACCTGCACCCCACTTTGGATGATATTAGGAAATGGCCTTACCAACTTTTCACACCAAAACCAGGCACAGACAACTGGGTTGAAGAATTTTAAGGTGCCAGATCTCAAATCAGGAATATCTGACATACAAGGAAAGTACTCTAATCTATGCAACTCAGCCTTGCCCCCACTTTTGCTATCAGGGGACTGGTTTCATATGATGCATTTGGGTCTGATGCACCTGCATGCTTCACCAATGTAAAAGCAGGCTATTTGCAGATTATGGAAGTCTTGCTTCTCTGCACAGAATGGGAAATCCAGTCACCACAACAAGAGTAAAGGAACTGGAGCATGTACACTGGTAAAAACAAGTAAGGGGTAGCTTAGCATAAAAGTCTGGTACCCTTTATCAGAAAGCAAGAGCAGCTCACTGGCCTGGGTGCTCCTTCAAACACACATGCATTTACACAACTTCCTCATAGGGGAAGAGGAGAAGAGGTTATCTTTCACTACAAACTAAGGCACATTCAAGTAGAATTTAAGCAGAGTTCTCACTAGGTTTCTTTCTTGGATTAGAAAGCAGAGATATGAGAGACTCTCTACCTCATAACTTGTACACATGCAGAGGTGTTCTCCACACAGCTCTCACTACAGCAATTCTACAGCAAGGCCTGAGAATGAGGCCAAACAAACAAACAAAATCACAAAACTGCATTTACTTTAAAACCCAATAGAGAAGTTCTACAAAGCCACCTGGAAAATTAGGGGTACACCAATAGAGATTTTGGGGGCCAATACCAATGGTTTATTTTTAAGGAGCCATATCAGCCAATACCAATCCAATATGCAGCCCAGCAGCTTGGAGATCAGTGTCGGGCTGGTAAGTCAGGCTGTTGTGGGAAAAGGGAAGGTGGCAGATCAAAGCCCCCATGGTGAGGGAGGATGTGGGGCTGAGGAGGGGCTGCACAGAGCTGTGAGCGGCTTGTTGGGAGGATATGGGGAGGGGAGGTGGCTCCCACCCTGCGTGTACCCTGGGAGGGGTGA